ACTGTGAAAGCCAGTGACTGTCCTAAGGGAAAGAAGGTTTGGACCAAGGAGGCTGGGAAACGCCTAGGGCTTGCAGGAATCCCCCCACCAAAGAGGGTGACAGGCAGGTGACAGGCGTGCCTCCCAGCCCCACTGGCCCCCACGCTGTGTCCACCCGCCAGGAACTCGCCCAGGCGTGACCCCCGAGCACCCCCTCTTCAGTGCCAACCACTGCACAGCGCCAGCCACGGCTCTAGGCTCATTGCAGCCCTGTGTATGTTCCGTGTATGTGTAATTTTACGCTGCTTACGACTGAGTAATCCTTCTCCCTTAAAGCATGCTGTAACCACGAACACGCTGGGGAGAACCTCACAGTCCGGAAGCCATGGCTGCCCTTTGGGAAGCCCGTTTCCAGGCTTGATGCTCCCTTAGACCTACTGAGGCTGTGCTGTGACTCAGGCCCTGGGGTCAGCGAGGAGAGACGCTCCCTGCAGACGGATCCTGGTCTCCCCGAGCAGAGAGCACTCCTGGGAGAAATACATTTCTGGCCATCATGCTCCTTCCAAGAAACCCTGCTTTGTGCAGAAGCAGCTTTGGGTGTGCCTTTGGGGCAGAGCAGGACACAGGTCCCCCATTCCCATGGCTCTGAGTGCCCCAAACGTAGTGAATCTTCAGCAGCGACCTAAAAGCAGCTTTCCTGGAAGGAGATATTTTTAGCCTAAGCAACGCCTTACTGTAACTGGTCTCTAGATTTATGCCTGGACTTCACTGCACTGCTCAGATCCAGGTCCGGGCTTGCGCCCTCCCTAGGCGGTGAAGGGACCTCCCCCTGGAGCTCCCAGACAGAAGCCCCAAGCCCAGGAGGCTTGGATCAGGTCGTTGTGCTTAAGGGTGGTGGCTTAATCCTTTTATCCAGCCGGGGGTGGCCATGGCCAGCTCTCTGCCTCTCTGCCGGTGGCCTCAGCTCCTCACCCTTCAACCGGGAGTGCACCAGGCAGCCCCAAAGGCAGACTCGTTCACAGGCTGGGCAGCAGCCTCCCACCCCACAGTGCCCAGGCTGAAGCCCCCAGAGGGCTGTCAGGTACCAAAGACTCAGGTTTGTCCAGTGCCCCTGAATGCAGAGCTCAGTCAGTGCCCTTTTTTTTTTTTTTTTTTGCGGTACCGGGGATCAAACTCAAGACTTTGCGCTTGCCAGGCAGGCGCTTATGCCACTGAGCTACATCCCCAGCCCTCAGTGCCTTTGACGTCCAGTGTGTGGCTGAAGATAGTGGCTAAACAATTCTATACATTCCAAGGATTCGAGGCCGGGTGTGGTGGCGCACGCCTGTCATCTCAGCCCTGGGGAGGCTGAGGCAGAAGGATCACTGTACGTTGGAGGCCAGCCTGGGCTACATAGTGAGTTCGAGGCCAGCCTGAACTGCATAGTGAGACCCCGTCTCAAAAGTCAATGCCAAACCTCAACAACAACAAAAATGAATCCTTCATTGTGGAGCCACTTTTAGCTGATGTGACACTAAACTAATAAGAAAAATACACATTTGGTTTGTGGCCCTGGCTTCCGGGACAGAGCGCTTCCATCCCTTGGGTCTGGGTGACCGGCGTGTCTTTTGTTCTAACAAGGTGACTTTTGTTGGGTCCTAGTGTTGGCTGGTCACCAGAAAGACCGAGCTGTGGTCAGAAGCTTGGCGTTCTTGGCCCCACACACTTCCTGAATCCAAGTGTCCTGGAGCTCGAGGTTCCCGAGCTACGGGGAACCTGGGGCCATCCACGCACTGTGCGCCTTCCCTGCGCCTGCCCTGAGCGCGCCACCTCTGCCTGCTTATTCGTGTCTCCTGTAAAATCCTTTACAATAAGCAGCCTTTATATGACAACAGCCTTTATGTAAGCTAGCAGGGCTGCCCTGAGTTGTATGAGGCTTGCTGGCTTATCAATAGAACCCAAAGAGGGAGTCCAGGGAATCTCTATTCACAGCCATTTGGTGAGAAGCAGAGATGATAGCACTCCGCTGTGACTGACACCAGAAGTCCGGGGAATCAAGTCCTGCAGCAGCGGCAGAAGGGAAGGGAATCGCTGGACGCCTGCTGGCATTGCTTGGTGCGCGGCGGAAACCTCCACACATCTCAGGGGACACTTGAGCCGTTTCAGTAGGAAAACTGGTTGGTCTGAAAGCTGCTGGGCGGGCGAAGCTCCCGGAAGAGACAGGGAAGCTTCGAGAACAATCGAGGGCGGCTCTAGGGGTCACACAGCAGGGCACAGAGTGGTCTCGGCATCTCTTGGGCGGTGGCCTCCTTTTCCCAGGCGTTCCCATGTGGTGAGGGGTGCGGCTGGAGGCCGCCCTGCGTCTCATTCCCCAGTGACCTGACCACACTTCCAGAGAAACCCCAAGAAGGAATAGTTCGGTCTGGGTCGCACGTGCAAGCTGGCCCAGTCACTGCGGCCAAGAAACAAGGCAAGCGAGGGGGTGTGTTTGTGGGGATTCCTGGCAGTGTGTCTTTTACTGTAATACATTTTAACAAATAAAAAATTTAAACATTTCCCATATTTTTTTCTCGTACCACATATAAAGTAGGAAGAACAAAAGTAACTCCTCCAAACCAGAACGTACCTGGTTTATCTCAGGCTAACACCGAGAGCCCGGCACATTCCTGCTGCCAGAATCCTATCCCAAGGCTCCACCCACCACTCCCATGGTTTTGTCTATTTATAGTGTGCTGGAAGACTATGTGGGGAAAACCAGCCAGGGTTACTCAGAGCCAGTCAGGCGGTTAGGACTCAACGCAGCTGCAGTCATGGCCGGGGCTGTAGGTTTCAAAGTGCGCCACACAGTGACATATTACTGGAAGTCAGGCAACACACTCAGAAAGGAAAGCAAAGCAGGAGGGTGCGTGAGTGAGTGAGTGTGTGTGTGTGTGTGTGTGTGTGCGCGCGTGTTACTCAGAGTTCAGGGCTCAGAGGCACCAAGGCCTACACTGAGACCTGGTCTCCCCAGCTGTGTGAACTTTCAAGAGTTTCTTAACCTCTGTGTGCCCCATGTTGTTGATCTTCTCGAAGACAAAACTTGGACATGTAAGAAGATGGATTTCAAAAGCTGGGGGTGATAGCGCATGCCTATAACCCTAGCACTTGGGAGGCTGAGACAGGAGGATCGCCGTGAGTTTGAGACCAGGGCTATATAGTGAGTTCAAGGCCAGCTAGAACTACAAAGCAAAACCCTGTCTCAAAAAAAAAAAAAAAAAAAAATTATTTCATTTGGCCTGTAGAAAGTCAAACACAGGATGGCTTTCGGTTAAACCTGCACAGGGAGTTGTGGGCAGGTTACAGGTGGGCTGGTTTAGCAGTCAGTGGAGAAGCAGGTGATCAGCCAATCTGGAAATGTCTTTGTGCCTGACTGGTGTGAGGGTGGGGGTCAAACAGTTCTAATCTCAGCTAACCCACCATGAGGCAACCCAGGAGGGGGACTGAGAGGGCTGTGACTGTCCTTGTCCCAGGGAAACAAGCGTGACATCTGCGAGTCTATGAGTTTCGTCTTATCCAGATCAGGTTTTCCCTAAGCTGCTTCCTAGAGCACAAAGGGTGGGGATTTCGGAAAGCAAAGGTGGGAAGGATTTCTTAACTGGCTGTTTTCTAGGAACACAGGCTTCAGCTAAAGCACGGCACTGTCAACCGTGAATTACTGGGGCTGGGGATTTAGCTCAGCGGCACAGCGCCTGCCTGGCAAGTGCAAGGTCGTGAGTTCGGTTCCCGGTACTGGGAAGAAAAAAAAAATCATGAATTGCTGAACTGCTGTCCATGCCATGGATATGTGGTGAGAATTAGAAAAATCTATGCAACCCGCTTGGCAGGGTGCTGGCCATACACGGGGCTGCCAATTTAGCAAATAAGAATACAAAACAATACAGCGTCCTATATGCACAAGAAATAAGACACGCCGTGAGGACATACAGTCAGACCGTAGCAGCGGCTGGCTTCAGCACTTGTCAAACCCAGCGCTCACTGCGTCTTTTTTCTTCTTGGTTTTTTAAGGGCCTTGTGGGTTTCAGCACTCATCCTGAGGTCTGGGTGGAATTACTGGCACGTACTGAGGTATGAGCGTACTTAGAAAAATCATCTGAAAGTCAAATTTAACCGGATATCCTGTACAGTATTTTGTCGGATAACCCTAGCCACAGTTGTGCTTTTAATGCACATTTATTGTTTTTCTTATGGCTAGGAAATTGTATTCTCAAGCCAAGGGGAACAGGGACCCCTTCCTGCCAGGCAGGGGCTGGGGACACTGTGGCCCTTTCCAGGGGCGGCTTCTCCGCGCCTCCTGCCTGTCTGGCCCCGGCTGCTTCCACCGTCGGGAGCTGGTTTTCCGTCCAGGCAGGGCCACGTCCCCACCCGTCAGCCACAGTTGGCCACTAGCAGGTGCAGAGCGCTGCTGAACATCAGTTCAAAAGCAACGCGGGCACAGAGTGAGATCTGAGCTCCCGTTTTATTTTGCTCTCCGTTTCTTTCTTGTAGTGCAGGGGCGGAACCCAGGGCCTTGTGCATGCTACGCAAGCGCTCTGCCACTGAGCTACATCCCCAGCTTTCCTGCCTTGTTTTTAAAACCTCAAATGTCACATTTTTTAAAAAGTCTGTATACTTTCTGGAGATCGGCGCAGTGGGGCGGAACTCTGGGCCGGAGCTTTGGAGCCGATCCCGGGCGTCCCTCCCGGTCCTCGCTACCCCAGATTGCTCGGGCAAAATGGGAATAACCACGCCTACTTTCCCTTCCGCGAACAACACAACCCACTGTAATCTCACGGCCTGTTTTGTTTTCTCTGTGAGACAACGAGCCCCTGTGCTTGAACCTGCTCCAGGTCATCCCGGGGACCGTTTGTGAAAACGAACGAATGAATGAGCGAAGGAGTGACGAGTCGTGCAGAGGGCAGGCACCGAGGCGCCGAGAGGTGAACCCCAGTTTGGTTTCCAGCTGTGAAGCCTCACTTCCGCCGCCTGCAAGTTTCGGGCGGCCGCCTTTCCTCCCAGGCTGCTCCGCGCCGGCCGCGCCTTGCGATTGGCTGAGCCGCCCCGGCGGCGGCGGTTGCCCGGGTGACGGAGCGCGGACTGGGTGAGCGCTGTGTTGGCCGCGGAGCAGCAGGTAAGCGGTGCCCCAGCGCGCAGGGCCCTCCATCGCCGCCGCCGGCCCCGCAGTCCGGTTCGGGAGGGGCAGTGGCGGGGCGGAGGGCGGAGGGCCGAGATTCCCTGACCCCTTGTCTCGAGGAAACCCCCGTGTGCATGCTCCCGCCTCTCGCCCGCGGTCCAGGGCTCTTACCCGCAAGGGCCTGAGCTGGCCGCCCGCGCATCCCAAGGGCCAGCCCCCTGCTTCCCGAAAGTTTGGCTTCCGGCTGTGAAGGTCCCTGACCTCTGCTGCAGGGGGCCAAAATTGGAGGGGCCTCCCCGCCTCGGTCCGGCGGGGTAGTGGCGGTGCGAGCAGAGGGCCTGGGGCTTTTCGATCGCCCCTTCATTTTATCAACCAGCTTGCCCCCCAGACACCCAGACCGGGTTTAGCTTCACAGAATGAAGCAAAAACACGGGGCTTGCTGTGCGAATTCGTCACCCGCCCAAATCCCGTCGTCTTTACTTTATCCAGCCAGCTTCCAGGCCCTAAATCTTTCAGGAATTTTGACGCTGCGGCGCAACTGAAGTCTTCCCTAGCGTCCGCAGGAGTTAGAGCCCTCAAATTCGAGTTCTCAAATTCGAATATGTGCAGAAGTCACCCAGGGAGCTTGCTTAAAAGGCAGATTTCTGGACGTTTGGACACCTGCCCGGGTGCTCAGGAGCAACAGGCTGGAGCAGGGGTTTTCCCTTGCACAAACTTCCCAGCAGGTTCTGACTCAGATGGTCTAAATTTGAGGGAATACGGTGCAGTGCTTAGAATCAGCGTGGATTTAAATTCTTACTTTGTCACTTAGGAGCGGTGGCTGCAGCTCAATTGCTTCATCTGTAAAAGGAGAATGTAAATGACATTCACCTCAGGGGTGTACTAGGGACAGTAATGTGAAGCGTTTTGCGTGGTGTCTGGCGTACAATAAACCCTCTGTAAACTATAGCTGTTAGGATAAAAGGCTTAGGAGAGGGGCTGGGGATTTAGCTCAGCGGCAAAGCGCCTGCCTGGCAAGCGCAAGGTCCTGAGTTCGGTTCCCGGTACCGGAGAAAAACCAAAAAAAAAAAAAAAAAGAAAAGAAAAGGCTTAGGAGAAAGTTCTGTAACTGCTAAAAGTGGCAGAACACTACAACACCCCGTAATGGTGTGCGGTGGCTCACATTCACTTCATGGGTCACTAGTCATGGATAACTGCTCTAAAGAAAGGACATTTTTTTAAGCACAGGGATTGGCCAGGTGAGGAAGGGGGAGAAAAAAGGTTTCCAGGCAAAGGAATTGTATGTGCAAAGGCCCTGAGGCCAGGAGGAGCCTAACTTCTCAAAAACAACAAAGTATTCTTATTTCAGGCCTTCCAAAATGCCATCCCCTTGTTCCGGCTTCATTTATTTGTCCAGGGTCTTACTAAATACTCTGCTAGGTGCTGTGGTTACAAAAATTAAATACAACTCTCAGCCTTTAGGGAAAATTTAAATACCGCTCTCAGCTTTTGAAACCTGGTTATAATTATAGGGTAGGATACAGAGATGCCCCCATGGAGAAAGAATCGCCTTGATGAGGACAAGGAGAGGGAGGGCGTTTCAAGGGAGCTTCCGGAAGCAGGTCAAGCTGGGACCAAGTGAGAATTGCTGAGTCAAGTTTGCCCAGGAGGCAGGCGCCCATTAAATCGCGGCTTGGAATGGGGAGGAAGTGCGTTTCAGGGGAGCAGCCTGGTTCGCATGTGCAGGGGCTGAGGCGGTGAGAGGTACCAGGAGGCCGGCGGGGTCCAGAGAAAGGCCGGCGGGCTGAGTGCTTCAGACAGTGGCCGACTTTCTTCTCACAGCTTAGAGGAGAGAGTCGTTCTGGCTCACGGAGTCAGGGCTTCATCAGGGTCAGTTGGCTCCGTGCTGTGGGGAGACAGAGGGACAGAGGCAGACTGGCGTCCCAATGTCCCCTCGGGGCTCCCCCCAGCGACCGTGCTTCCTGCCGTCTCCCAAAGTTTCCACCTGTACCTGGTGACCAAGGCTTAGGGGTGCAGGCTTTGGGTGGCCTTTAGGACCCAAACCATAATCCTTAGTAAATGTGATCTTCCTGACCTGGCTGAAAACATAAAGTCATGGACTCACTCGTTCTCTTGTTTTTATTTTTTGAGACAGACTCTCGCTATGCAGTTCAAGCTGGCCTTGAACTCACTGTGTGGCCCAGGCTGGCCTTGAACTCACCACGATCCTCCTGCCTCAGCCGCCTGAGTCTGGGATTGCAGGCGTGTGCCACCTCGCCGGGCCAGACTCACGCGTAGAACTGCAGGGGCTCTGATGAGTCCTGTGTGTTATCCTCCAGATGAAACTGGCTCTGAGTCCGGGCGACTTGCCAGTGGTGGCACCAGTAGTTCGGAGCCCAGACCCATTGGCCCTCAGGAGGTGGCCACGGGCCCGGCTTTCGGCTCTGCCCGCCTGTGTCCCGTGGCACTGTGCGAAACACGTGAACCTGGTGGCTTAACGCAGAAAGCCCAGACGCCTGTCCTGGGTCTCGCTGGGCTGGGGTCCAGGTGTTGCGGGCTCCTTCCCGACACTCGGGCAGGGTCACCCCGGCCTTGGCTGCCTCTGCAGGCTCCTCGCCTCCTCTCCTGACTCCCTCCACCCCGGAGCCCGTGGCAGGGACGTCCTTCTCGCGTCTGCTGTGATGCAGCCCCCCGCCTCCTGCTCCTCCCCTGGGTAACCCTGGCTGCCTGTCACACAGGTCCCCAGGAGCCATCACTGGAGTTCCCGCTCCCTGCCCCGTTGGATACCTCGGGGTGACGAGGACGCCGGGTCTCATCTGCTCGCCTCGCGGGGACTCGCTGTGGACTCCTGGCAGCGCCATGGGCGACGTCCTGGCTCACGAGTCAGAGCTGTTGGGACTCGTGAAAGAGGTGGGTGCGGGCGGCCCAGAGCCCCTGGGCTTCAGAGATGCCGCCGCTTCGGTGCCTTGTGATATCTCGTTACCGCTCCGCTCACCTCTTCATCTTCCGTTCTGTAATTTTCCACCTGTTATTTTCTCTAAATAGCGCAGCGCATGTTCCAAACAGAGGTGACCACCGCGTGCTGCGCCTGAAGCTCACCGGTGACGCCGCCTGTACTTGAATGACTTTCTGTGACCTGTTCTGTGTCACAGGCTTTATTTCTAAGTCCACTTCAGATGACAGATTCCCAGGGGTGTGCAATACTAAGTCAAAAGCCATTCAGGCCTCCTGCTAGGCATCCGACCTGTTCAGACTGCAGCACGTAGCACTTTATTTTCTGTTAGTGACAGTCAAGCCACTCATAGAGTCCTTCTAGAAGTCCTTCTATATGTTTTTTATTTTGGACAGAGTCTCGCTAAGTTGTCCTGGTGGGACTCGAGCTTGTGATCCTCCTGCCTCAGCCTCCTTCAGTGCTGGAATTATGCTGTTCCTTTTTAAAGGCTCGCTGAGGTGTAACTGACAAAAATACACATATTTAAGGCATAGAGCGTATGCTTTGATACACCTCGTGAAATGATCACCACCATCAAGCTAATTAATACACCTGTGGCCTTGTATATACACTTCCCTATTGCTCTTTTGGTGGTAAGAACCAAAATCTGCTCTCTTAGCACACTTTCAGTACACGGGTCAGCGCCGTCAGCTGCAGTCCCCGTGTTGAATATTAAGCCTGCAGGCTGTGCTCATCTCACTTGAGTGGAACTTTGTACCTTAGGCCAACATCTCCCCATTTTCCCGACCCCTGGCAACCACCATTCTACTCTACTTTTGTGAGTTCGACTGCATTTTATATGAGTGAGATTATGCAAGTCCCTGTACTCGGGAGGCAGAGGCAGGAGGATCGCTGCAAGTCTGAGGCCAGGCTGTACCACATAGCGAGACCCTGTCTGTAAAACAAAACAAACAGACAAACAAAAGCGAGATCATGCAGTGTTTGCCTTTCTGCGTGTGGCGTTTTTCACCTAGCGTCCGTCCTCTAGGTCCATCTGTGTCTCCACAGGGCACAGTTTCCTGAGGTTGGTGAATGCTCCATTGTGTGTATGTACCGCATTATTATTATTACCGCTACTACCACTGCTGCTGCTTGCAGTACTGGGGATTGAACCCACAGCCTCACACTGAGCTCCATCTCAGCCTTTTGAAAATTGTTTTTTATTTTGAGACAGAGTCTTGCTAAGTTGCCCAGCCTGGCTTGAACTTGTGATCCTCCTGCCTCAGCCTCCCAGAGTGCTTGGATGACAGCTGTGCTCCTAGCTAGCTGCACCCAGCTACACGCTTTTCTTTCATCTCTCAGCGTGGCTTTTGCAAGTGAGGCTGTGCTGTGCGTAGGAGTACAGGTGTCTGTCTGAAATACTGATTTTCAGTCCTTTCCATAGGTACCCGGCAGTGGGATTGCTGGATCAGGCGCTAGTTCCATTTTTAATTTTTTGAGCCCCTCCCACCACGTACCATTTTCCATACTGGCCATTTGCACCCCCACCCACAGCGTACAAGGAGTCTCTTCTCTCCTTCCTGCCAACGGTTGTTACCTCTCCTCTTTTATTATTTATTTACTTATTTTTGGTAGCGGGAGTTGAACTCACAGTGTTGTGCTTGCCAGGCGAGCACTGTGCTGCTGAGCTATATCCCTGGCCCCCTCTGCTCATTTAGATAATAGGCGTTACCAGGTGAGAGGTGATATTCCACTGTGGTTTTGATTTGCAGTTCTCTGAAAATTGGTGATTTTGAGCACTTTATTTATTCTGTATTTATTATTTGCTTATTTAGTTAGTTATTTTTTGACACAGGGTCTTGTTATATAGTCCAGGTTTACTTTCAACTCACTGTGTAGCCTAGACTGGCCTTGAATTTGAGGCAACCCTCCTGCCTCAGCCTCCTGTGTGTTGGGTCCAGTGTTGAGCCCTTTGATGTACCACTGACCTTGTGTGTGTCTTCTTTGTAGAAATGTCTGTTCAGGGCCTTTGCACGCTTATTAATTAGACCGTTTGTTTTGTGCTGTTGTTTATGTTCTGTTTTGCAGTATTTAGATTTTGCTGAATTTGAGGACACTTTGAAAACATTTTCAAAAGAATGCAAAATAAAAGGAAAACCATTCAGTAAAGCAGCAGGTGGCTCCTTAAGGGACTCCAGGTCGTCGGCCGTCCAGGTAAGGTCTCTCCCGCTTTCATCCCTGGGGATGACCAAGGTGCCCCAGCTGGAATACACGCTGCTGTGGAGAAGCACAAAGTTGCACTACTTGGGTCACTTTAGACCCCGCAGTGTCCCTGGGTGAATGGGGATGGCCTCTGCATAGTGTGTGTCACACGGAGCGCTGGCTTCAGGCTGCTTCACGCCCATCTCCTCAGTCCCTGCCGCCCAGGGCCGGGCATGGGCACCAGGAAGAGCAGGCCTGCACCCCGGCCCAGTCCCTTTTGCACTGAGCTACCAGACACAGGGTCCTGGTGGATGTCGCAGCAGCCTGCCCGGCCACCGCGCCCAGCCAACAGGGTAAATGGTGCTAATACCACCGAGCTGCGTAATTCAAAATAGTGTAGGTGGGAAATTAGTGCAGGTGGTGCACACCTGGAATCCTACCTGCTGGGAGGCTGAGGCAGGAGGATTGCAACTTCAAGCCCAGCCTATGAAACTTAGTGACTTAATGAGATACTGTCTTCAAATTTTTTTAATAAAAGGGGGCTGGTTAGGGATGTAGTGCTAGGGAAAAAAAAAGACTATTTACATTGTTGGGAAACAGAGCTCTAGAACTTACTCATCCTGCACATCTGAAAACTCCACATCTGTCAGCTCTCCTCTCTCCCTCCCCTTGGTCTTTGCCGTCAGACATTTTGCTTTCCATTTTGCTTTCTGGTGCCGGGCATTGAGCCCAAGGCCTCGCACACCACCCAGCGAGGAAAGTGCTCTTCCACTCAGCTGTAGCACAATGCCGTCGTCGTCGTTGTTGTTCTGTTGTTTTGAGACAAGAACTCATTGTTTTGTCCTGACTGGACTCGAACTTTGATCCTCCTGCCTCAGCCTTCTTAGTAGTTAGGATTACAGGCATGGCCACGGTGCCGGGCTCTCTGTAAATTGGACTGCTGGGACTTTGTGACCGGCTTATTATTCTCAGCATAATGTCCTCAGGATTCTGCAGTGAGGTAGTAAGTAATGAGATGTAGGAACTTTTTTTTTCCCCCAGTACTAGGGATCGAACTCGTGACCTTGCGCTTGCCGGGCAGGCGCTGTGCCGCTGAGCTAAATCCCCAGCCCCACGTAGGAACTTTTCAAGCTTGGAGAAGTTCGTCTGGTGTGCAGACCATATCTTATTTACCCACCTTCCCCGGTGGGCATTTGGCTGTTGCAAATAATGCTGTTATACAGGCATGATTGAAAAATACGGTGAATGCTTAAATCTTAAAGAGTAACTTATCACAGTAAAAGACACAACGCCAAGAGTGATGGGATAAGTGCATTTGTAGTAAGGGCGAGGATTTTGAGGGCAGTGTGTGTTTTACTATAATAATATTATATTATTATATTATTTAAAATTAAAATTATATTATTTTAAAATCATCTTCACTGATCAAATGTTTGTGGCAATTTCTGTCAAATAAAAACACGACAGTGCGTCCTCATCACCCTGTATACCAGGGCTGGCGGCATGTGACTTCTGGCTCTTCCCAGCATCAACCAGCAGGAAAGGGAACCGTTTGGAATTAATTCCAGACATCAAGGCAGCCACAGCAGCACAAGTAAAGACACTCACGAAAGAAGACACGAAAGAGGACTCCCAGAGCTGCTTCAGAGAGTGGCGAGAACAATGGGATAAGTGTGTTTGAAGCCAGGGGATACTAATGGCAATGTGTCTTTTACTGTAGAAAACACAACAAAAGGGGCTGGGGATGTAGCTCAGCAGCACTGCGCCTGCCTGGCAAGTGCAAGGTCGTGAGTTCGATTCCTGGTACGGGAAGAAAAGCAGAAACAAAAGCAAACAAATAAAAAATTAAACACAACAAAATAAACCTCAGAACCCCAGTTCACCTATTTTTTGATCATACCTTGTGGGTGTCCAAATATCTCTTCAAGATCTTTTCAGTTTTCACAGATATATACCCAGAAGTGGGCATCCTGTAGTTCCATTTGGGACAGGAAGTTTGTTTTGAGACAGGATCTCGTTATGTAGTCCAGGCTGGCCTTGAACTCATGGTGATCCTCCTGCTTCAGCCTCCCGAGTGCAGGGATTACAAACATGCAGCACCATGCCCAGCAGTTAGTTGTGTTTTTAACTTGTTGAAGAATTGCCAAGCTCTTTTACACAGTGGTTGTACCATTTACATCCCCACCAGCAGTGCATGAGGGCTCCCGTCTTGTCCACATCTTCACCACTCCTGTAATTTTCTGTTTTGTTTTGGATAGTAATATCCCAAAGGGTTTGAAGTGTGGTGTGTGGTACCCTGTCATTCTGATTTGGATTTCTCGCATGTTTGGGGGTCCACTTTTCTTTAATGACAGACCCTGACACTTTCTGCCCCTCCATTCAAGAAGTGTGCCACCATGATAGATTTCCCAGACAAAGCAGTGTTTCAGCCAGGCACGGTGGCACACACCTGTAATCCTAGCACTCAGTAGGCTGAAGCAGGATTGCTTTAAGTTTGAGGCCCGCCTGGGCTACATAGTGAGTTTAAAGTTAGCTTGAATTACATAGTGAGACCCTGTATGCACCTGTACTCCCCACCCCACAAAAAGACAGTGTTTCAGCAGGACACGCTCAGTGTCAGTGGCCTCTAATGCACGGTGTTGCCAGGCAGAGGCTGAAGGGTGTGTTCACGGTCACCAGTGGTGGTGCCCACACTGTCTGGTGTTGGTGATGCTGGCTTTGACCACGGTGTGCAGAGGATTGTTACGCTGTGATCAGGTAGTCACAGCAGTCTGCTTTACGTGAGGGATGATTTAATCTTTTTTTTTTTTTTTTGTCTTTTTGAGACAAGGTCTCATTACGCGGTTCAAGCTGGCCTTGAGCTCACTTTGTAGCCCAGGCTGGCCTCGAACTCACAACAATCCTCCTGCCTCAGCCTCCCAAGTGCTGGGATTACAGGCATGCACCACCACCCCCGGCTGAGGGATGATTTAAAATGCAGGGACCCTTTAGTATGAATGATGAGCCAGTACAGACGATGGATGTGATTCTAATGACACGGCAGCGACTTTTGGTCCCTGGGATACAAACACAGAACTCGCGCAAACTGTCAATGGGCCGTCGGAGGCGTGGCCTCTGCCGAGCCATGCTAGGAAGACAGTGTGACTCTAAGCCTTGAAATACTGCGGGGCGTGTGCTCAGTGCCGCTCAGGAGATCAGGAAGCACCTGGGCCGCCCCTCTCCGGGCAAGGGCCCCAGCAGCTCCCAGGGTGGGGTGGGGTGGGGTGGGGAGCTTTTGTAAGACAGGCGAGACGTGCCTTCCTGTGGTATCTTCAGCGGGAGCTTGCTTGTGCTCCAGACATTTCCATTTTATGATGTTCACAGCTTGATGATACACAGAACGAGTAGCCGAGCAAGTAACAGGCCCGCACGGAGGTTACATGGGGGTCATTTTTAAATATGTAGAAAACAGTGGGCAAATACTGGCGGTGCTGGGTGGGGTCTGTGACGCTCGGGCAGCAGAGCAGAGTCCGGGTCTGGCCCTCGGCCTTCGCTGCAGACAGGAAGACAGCGCAGCCCTAACACAGGACTCTTGCGCTTCTGGCTTCTGTCCGTGTCACAGCTGCGCGGTGGCCTCTGTGAGGCGGCCGCGTCACCAGCCCCTGCTGTCCGCAGGGCTCTAAGAAGCTGGCCTGTTCCCGTCACTGTGTGCTGTGGCCCGCTGGTCCCGAGGTGACTCGGTTGTCCATGGGCTGTGCTGTGTGGCCTCTTCCGAGGGCTCGGGTCTGGTCCCGGGAAGGGCTGGGAACCCGGCTGTGGATCTGGGACGCTGATCCCTCGTGATCATTCACTGGTCATTCTAAACCTGCCTCTTAGCGTGGATTTGGTGGCTTGAACAGGTGTCTGTGTGTTTCTACACATTTAATTTGTTTAGAGAATTATTTTAAATTTCAGTTTTGGTTTCTTCCTCTAGTCTACTGGTTTTTCAAGGAAAAGTTCTTTTCCATGCATTTGCCTGTTTTCCTACATGCAAATGTCATTTTTCTTGTTATTGATTTGTAAGTCTATTTTATCTTTAGTCAGAAACGATCCTCAATAATATTTTCTTTTTTACTTTTTTGGGCTGTTTTATGGTCCTCATGGAATCTACCCTGGATTATGCTCTGTGTGGTGATGATAAAAATGTATAGCCGGCAGGTGTTGGGTGGAATATTCTGTGGATGCCCTTTAAGCCCATCTGTTCTCATTTTCAGTTTAATTCCGCTGCTTCCTTGTTGATTTTCTCCCAGGTCCCCGTGTCCTTAGCTCTGCAGCGGGGCACGTGGGTGCTGCAGGCCTAGTGGGCTGGGGTGCGGGGTGCGGGGAGAAGCAGCCACCTTCCCAGTGGGGTTGTGTCGTGTCTCCTGTAGAAGGAGCTCCTGGCTGCCTTCGATGGCGGGGACCAGAAGGTGTTCTTCCGCCTGTGGGAGGAGCACATCCCTCGTGCCATCCGGGATGGGGATGCTGGGGCGCAGAAGCTGGAGTTCTACCTGCACATCCACTTCGCCGTCTACCTGCTCAAGTACCGTGCCGGCCCGCAGGTAAGTCAGCTGGGCCCCAGGCTGGGGTCACCTTGAGCAGGTTGTCAGGAAGCACTGTGTCCTGAGAAGCGATTTCCCACCCCATGCCTGGCATCGTGCCTGGCATCATGCCTGGCAGTCTTTCTCTCTCTCTTCTTTTTTTGAGATGGAATCTCACCATATAGCCCAGGCTGGCCTCAGACTCATAGCAGTCCTCCTGCCTCAGCCTCCTCTGAGTGCAGGGATTACAAGTGCACACCACCACACCCATCTTATTTTCTAATTTATATGGAGTCTCAGGACACAGGAGAGTGGATATGTGTTGTCCCTGGGATGTTTTATTAGGGGTGACTTTGAGGTGGTGTCAGAATGGCTGGCAGCAGTGTGCCCACCAGGTTGCCCGGGCACGATGCCAGTGACAGGGCTGGGCCCCAGGGACCCCATCTGGAGCCGGAGCCCTCAGACAAGCATCTTCTTCCAGGACAAGCGGGAGCTGGATGAGAGGATTTCCTATTTCAGATCCTTCCTGGAGACCAGAGGAGCGGCACTGAGCCAGACCACAGAGTTCCTGCCCTTCTACGCCCTTCCCTTCGTGCCCAACCCCCTGGCGCACCCCTCCTTCAAGGAGCTCTTCCAGGTAGGTGGCAGCTCTGACCAGGCAACTGTGGGTCCACTTGTGGGATCTCAGTGATACATAAAACCCTAAAATTGCTGGGCATAGTGGCACATGCCCATAATCCCAGCACTCAGGAGGCTGAGGCAGGAGGATCTGTCTCAGTTCGAGGCCAGCCTACACTACATAGCAAGACTCTGCCTCAAGAAAACAAAACAAAAAAACCCTCTAAAATCTATTCTCATTGTTATTGGTTTGGTTTGATTTGGTGTGGTTTTTTGGTTTTGAGACAGCACCTAACTATGTAGCCCAGGCTGGCCTGGAACTTATGGTGATCTTCCTGCCTCAGCCTCCTGAGCAGTGGAATTATCCATGTGTGCCACCCTGCCCAGCCTCATTATTATTTTTACTATAGCCATAATTTATTTTATTTTTTTTTATAGCCCTAATTTATTTAGTCCATTTCCTATTGGGTGGTTTATTAGTGTTGGGTTTACTTTTTGGTCATCCTATACTGTGATGTGTTTTCTGGTTCATGTAAACCTGAAAGAATCACAGCACTCAGAAGGCTGAAGCAGGAGAATTGCCATGAGTTTGAGGCCAGCCTGAACTGCATAGTGAGACCCTGTCGCAAAAAAGAAACCCAAAAAGCAACCTGCAATAGACACAGAATATTCACACAGTAACACTATCTGTAATAGAGAAGTTGGAAGCAACCCAGTTATACGTCACTGAGAGCATGCATAAATAAATGTCACTGTTAAGGTACACCTATGAGAATGAATAAACTAAGCCACATATAGGCGAACTGTAACCAGATGCAAGAGGCACCGTGCTGTGGGAGCCCCTTCCTACACCCACCCGATAAACACAAGGAGCTTTTCCGAACACGCATACCCAAGTCAGCATAGCTTTACAAGATGGGCTCGGTGCAGGTCCCTGTAACCCCAGCAGTCTGGGAGGCAGAGATGTGATCTCAAGTTCAAGGCCAGCCTGGGCAATTTAGTTAGACTCTGCCTCAAAATAAAACATAGATGGCAAGCGCAAGGTTGTGAGTTTGATTCCTGGTACCAGAAAAAAAAAATTGAAAAAATTAAAAAAATAAAACATAGAAAGGGCTGGGGGTGCAGCTCAGGGGTCAGGCGTCTGCCTAACGTCGGGGAGGCCCTGAGTTAACCCCCAGAGCTGCAACAGAACTAAACAAACACCATCCACTGTTACAGAAAGCAAGTGTTCTCACCTGCTGGACTGGCAATTTAAACGCTGTTTTAAGACGTGATCCAGTAAGATGAGCTTCCGGGGCTGTTCAGTTCTGTGAAGTTTACCCCTTGGGTTGACTAGAGTAACCAGCACACAGGAGCAGGATGGTTTCTGCTGTAATTGCCCCAAAGAACTGCTCGTGTTGCCCATTTATCACCAGTGCCTGCAGCCTAAGCCCTGGCCACCTTGCTTCCCTTTTGTTTGAAAAGAGTGCTCAAGCTGGACACGGTGACACACTCCTGTCGTGCCAGCACCCTGGGAGGCAGAGGTGAGAAGACTGAAAGTTTGATTCCAGCCCAGGCAGTTTAGTGACTTAGCAACAACTTGACTCAAAACAACAACAACCAAATAAAAAGGGGCTGGAAATGTAAATCAACGTGAAGACCTTGGGCTCACTTCCTAATACCGAAAGGACATTCAGGTTGTTTGCTTTAACAAACTCTTCTTGCACCATAGTTTTTTGTTTGTTTGTTTGTTTGTTTGTTTGTTCTGAGACAGGGTCTCACTATGTAGTCCAGGCTGGCCTTGAACTCACTATGGAGTCCAGGCTGGCTTCAATTTTATGGTACTCCTCAGCCTCCCAAGTGCTAGGGTTACAGCTGTGTGCCACCACGCCCAGCACCATAAAATACTCTTTTGGTCACACTAAAGCCTCTTAACCCAGACTGACATAAATCGCGTCCTCCATCCCTAGGTGGCTGTGTCCTTCCTCGGCCTTGGGGATCCGCCTTTCCCCTGGGCTAGGTAGAGAGTTCTGGTTTTGCCCAGGACTTACGGGGCTTCGTGCATGTGCTGTTCTGTGTCTTTCAACAACCCTGGAAAATTGTGTGTGTCTCCTCTGTTACCCTTCCCATCCTCCATCACCTCCGCTGGGCATCTGATCACAGGTGTATCAGACTTCTCATTACACCTCCATATTTACTTTTTCATTTTTTAAAAATTGTGCTCAAATACACTTAACAGAATGTGTCGTGCTGACCGTCTGAGGTGTCTGTCTCAGTAGCGCATTGTGTGTCCATGCTGTGGAACCTCTTCATCTTTTAACAGCTCATATTTTCTGTCTCTTGATCTTTCTGAGTGATTTGTTTACCTCTGTCTTACAGTTCATAGATTCACACACCCGCTGTGTCCAGTCTGCTCTCTAACAATACCATTAAATTTGTAATTTCAGTTAATCTTTTTTTCTCTCTCTTTCTTTCCTTTCTTCACTTCCTCCCTCCCTTCCTTCCTTCCTTTGAGACAAGATCTCACTATGTAGCCCAGGCTGGTCTTGAACTCAAGGTGATCCTCCTGCCTCAGCCTCCTGGGTGCTGGGGTTACAGGTGTACACCACTACACCTGGCTATAAACTTTTTTAATGGAAGTTTTTTCTGGCTTTATTCACATTTGTCTGATGCTTTACTGTCTAATTTCTTTACATAGTAAACATTTATTTTGTATTCTCAGTTAATTTTAGTATCAAATGCCTTTGTAGATTTGATTATTTCCTTTGTTTTTTCATTTGCTTGCTTTGTTTTTAGTCTTGACAGTGAGTTTGTTTTCCCTGGGACTGGAGGGACTTCTTTGAGGCCTGGTCCAGTTTGGCTCTCTCGGGAGAGATTTGCATTTGACCCAGGTGTTTGAAACTAGGTGATTTTCTGGAGGTTTGGGGGCCCACACAGACAGCGTGAGTCTCAGCTGTGGTCTGTTGCGCGACTCACACGAGGCTCCCGCCCTTCCGCCCTTTCGTCCGGGTGCTTGGGTGGGAGCAGGCGCGTTTCCTGTGCTCCTCGCGGAGTGGCTTATTCGTCCTCCGCGGGTGCCGAGCTGCCTCCCTTGGGCTCGGGGTGCACCCTGGGCCTCCTGTCGTGCGCGCCATGGCAGCCCTGCTGCCCCCCTCCCTGCCCAGCCGCACGCAGCCCCGAAGGTCAAGGTCCGGGCCCTGCAGTCACCCTGAGGGCCGAGTCTCCCACGCGCCCTCTCTCAGGAGTCCTGCCCGAGGTCACCTTCAGCCTCCACAGTTCTTTCCTCGCCGCTCAGGTGTGCGTGAAGAGCCAGGCTCTCAGCTGGGGGTGTTCGTTGTTTTCATTGCTTTTTCAGACTGTCCGCCCTGCAGCGCCAACAGAATAGGAAACTTGTCGTCCAGTGTCATAGTTACTCTCTCGTTTTTCGACCCAGTACCTGACGCTCACACGTTAAAGAAGGAGTTTACCTCGGCTCACAGTTTGGAGAAGTTTCAGTCGATAGCTGGCTGGCTCCAAGGCAGGGCAGCAGGGGAAATGTAGTACTGGGAACTGAACCCAGGGCTTGCAACTGAGCTATATCCCCAGCCCTTTTTACATTTTTTATTGTGAGGCAGGGTTTTACCAAGTCACTAAATCACCCAGGGTGCCCCCAAACTTGTGATCCTCCTGTCTCAGCCTCCCAGAGTGCTGGGATTACAGGTGTGCACCACCACGCCAGGCTTATCGTTTCCCTCCCAATGAGTGTTATTTGAGGTAAATAACTCATTTTTAAGGAGCAAATCAAACTAAAACTATATCCCAATGCTTGCTTGACCTGTTAGGAGATATTTATGGCAGGCCACAGCTTCTGTCCTTTCTTCTCACCCTGCCGGGTTCTACAGAAACAAGTCCCTTTCCCGAAACCGTCTGTGACTTAGTGATAACTGTGTGCCTGTCTGCGCCCTGCACTCCCCGGCCAATGGGATTCGTTTTTGGTATTCAGCGAGGAAAGGTCCTGGCGTGCTTGTGTTTAAATCCCGTGGAACGTTCTGGCTGTGCACAGTGACTGCGCCCTGCTGCGGCCGTTGAATCGCCTGTGAGAGCGTCCCTCAGTCGCGTGTCCGCTCCCACCGCCGGCGGGGCCTCTGGCTGTGGCTTCCGCGTTGTTGGACCCGACGACGGTAGTCGTCTGGTGCGCTTGTTGGTGTCTGGCACATGAGGGTTCTTATCTCTTGTTCCTTTGGTTTTTTCACTTCAGGATTCCTGGACTCCAGAGTTAAAGTTGAAGCTGGAGAAATTTCTAGAGTTAATTTTTAAAGCCAGTAACACGCCCAAGCTTTTAACAATCTATGTATCCTTTTCACACAAACGAGACCAGCTGCAGTTAGCATGGCCAGGAGCCAGGGCGCCTCAGGGGCGGGGACAAGGTCAGGATGCCACAGTGTAGAGATGTGCCACTGTCACCCTCACCCAGTTCCAGTGGGGGCCCTCAGAGTACAGAGGGGACAGTAGGCCAGTGAGTTGCCCCCGGTGACAGATCTCCTACAGTTGGTAGTCTGTCAGGACATCTCTCATTTGGAATAAGCAGGTGTCCAAAGTTATTTCACACCAAGCCAGGCATAGTGGCACACTCCTGTAACCCCAACACTCTGGGAGGCTGAGGCAGGAGGATTTCACAACCAGCACTGTATGCCGAGCCTGTTCTCCTGAACTTCTTTCTCATCCCAGAAGGAAAATGGACAACACAACAAAGGTGAGTCATCTGGTAGAAGCACTACAGGCACAACGTGGCCGGGTCAAGTTTTAAACTGGGAGATGGGGACAGAAATGCAGAGAATTTGTGGCTCTGGAAATGAGGGCTGCAAAAGCTTCAATGTTCACAGTGCCTCAGGGCGCACTCTTTAGGACAGTTGTACTGTGAGCTCCTCTTGCATCTGCAATAACCAAGATGCAGAGGCATGCAGGGTCCGGGGAGTGTCGCAGGGGAGCCTCTGCCGCACTCCATTCGGCCACACGGGGCAGTGTAGGTGAGGAAGGGATTATTTTATTTTTTTTGAGACAGGGCATCACTACATAGCCCAGGCTGGCCTCGAACTGTCTCTGATCCTCCTGCCTCAGCCTCCTGAGTGCTGGGATAACGGGCTGGGCCACCAAGCTCAGCCTAGTTCTACATCTTGAAAACTGTTTAAATTTCTCTGCTGGAAACGGCGTGTGATGTGCTTCATGTATTTTATAAGTCTCGATGGCATAATCCTCCTCTCCCAGCAGGGGGCGTTTCGCTACATGAAATTCCTGGCCTGTGAAATGTCATATTTGCCGTTTTCGAAGAACAGTAACATCAGGAAGGACTTTAAACTTTCTGCCGTTGTGTTTTTGTGCTTTTCAGAAAGTGAATCTTTTTTAAAGAAAGGAAATATTCATAAATTGTTTAACTCTGTTTACAGGTGGGTAAGATTTTCAGTTTTGTCCTATAAGGAAGGTTTTGACAGAGTCAGTGAGATAAAAAGGCTGGGAGGCCAGGTGTGGTGGTGCATGCCTGCAACCCCAGCACTCAGGAGGCTGAGGCAGGAGGATTGCCGAAAGTTCACGGCCAGACTGGGCTACATAGCAAGACCCTGCCTAAAAACAAAGAGAACAAGCAGGCTGGGGATGTTTGTTTCTGCCCTCTGTCTCCTCTCCTGTTGCTCTTCTGCCTGTCACCGCAGTGAAATGCCTGAGGCCTTTAACTTGGAATGAGGAAGATTCACTGAGCTCGCACCTCTGGAGACCCCAGAGAGACAGAGGGGCTTGGCCTGGGGCCCCGCCTCCCACCCTGGGGACCAAGTGTGTGGCGCAGGCACCTGTGGGGACGCTCACGGCACTTTGTCCCCAAAGGCTTGTGCGCAGCTCGCAGTGGAAACACACTCTCCCCGGCCCCCCCGTGCCTAGGGTTGCGCGAAGGCGGAGAGTCAGGTGAGACTCCGCCGGCTGAGCGTGAGCGCTGGGAACGCAGACCCAGCCTTCCGGGCTGCGCAGGCGGGCGCGCGCAGGAGTAAGAGCACACCAAGGAGGGGTCCCCCGCACAAGGCCAAGGCCCGGCAGGGCAGACGCTGGAGCCGTCCGCTCCGTGCCCAGCCCGTGGGCCTGCGGGGGGCCACGTGGGCTGAGGGCTCCGGTGACCCGCCACCCTGTAGCTCTGCAGGTGGTGGCCCAGCTGGGGGCCGCTGCAGGGACCCCGCGAGTTCTCAGAGGGAGCCACCAGGCCCCGTAACCTCGCGTCCCGCCTGCTGCAAAGCCAGCGCCCCGTGGCCGTCCTGCTGCGCCCGAGCTGGGGGCCTCGCTGGCTGCGTGGGCGGACACGCGCGTCTCTGACCTCGCAGTGAGAGCACTCTGCCTCGTTCACCCGTGCCGCTCTCAGCGCCCTGGCGCACCTTCCGGCCGCTCCTTTCTTGGCCCAGCTGCAGATTTTTGAGGCGTTTCTGTTCTCCTTTTTGCTCCCGAGGCTCACTATAAAATTGGCTAAAAGCCGCCTGAGCGCCCCATGCCTCGCCTGCATGTTCTGCCGCCTTGGAATCCCCTGGCCAAGTCAAACAGCCATCGCCCTTAAGCTTGGGCTCCTGTGGGGACCCAGGGCACGGACAGAATGCTTCCAGATTTTTCACCAAGCACAGCCTGGCGCAGCACTCCGCTTCCCAGAATCCTCCTTGCGGCCTGACCTCCTGCGCTCCCGCCCCGCTGCGCTGTGCCCTCCTGAGCCCCGCGTCAAACACCTCCTTCAGCTTGGCGCGTGGCGGCGGGGGCAGCGGCTTTCTCTGCCTGCTGCCCGAGACGCCGGTGACCCAGTTCCCAGGCCCTGCACATCACTGGCGTGGGCGGAGTCACGAGTCCGCTCCTTGCTACCAATCTTCCTCACGAACTGTCGCCAGCCCCCAGCCCGGCGGTTCAGATGTGGGGGTTCTGCCGTCTGGGCTGTTCCAGCGCCTGCACCTCTGAGCACTGGGTGGAGATGGCCTCGCACGGTGGCCCTGGGGCTGGAGTGCGGCCCTCAAGGAGAGGCCCCGGTCGCTGGACCCACCCATGGCCCGGGGGCCCTGTGCCGGTTTCCCCACACCCGGCGCAGCTGCAGGCCTGGGTCCAGCTGGGCCCTGGGAGGCCGCCCTGCAGCGCCTGGAAGTGCATCTTCCTGCGGAGTGGAGCAGCGGACTTCGGCCGAAACAGCCCTGCTCTGTGATGGTTCGTCCGCGTGGCCCGGTCAGGCCGTGCCCGACCCGCACGCGGAGGAGTCTGGCGATCGGATCAGCTCTGGGATCTCATGTCCCTCCGTGTGTCCTGGGGTCCTCAGGACATGGTGGCAGGGTCCGGTGGAGAAGGCCCTGGATGGCAGCAGGAGGAAGCTGTCGCTTTTTCTAAGCCAACCTCTGAAGTGACTGTCATTTCCGCCGCATTTAGTTCATTACAAGCCAATTCCTAGGGCAGCCAGAGGAGGAGGATTGCGTTCCACGTCATGCCGGGGTGGAGGGGTCAGACATTAGAAGCCACAGCCGCCTGTGCCTTGGTGCTGGAGAGCCAGCCTGAGTTCCCAGCTGCGGCCCCTGCGGCCCTGTTCAAAGTGGGCCTGGCGTCCCAGGTGGCAGGGGCAGAGAGCCTTCCCTGTGGCTCCCCTCAGGGTCCAAGGGAGGCCGAGCTGTGCAGATAGGAAACCAGGGCCCGGGAGTGTGAATAGGAGCCCCTGTGCTTCTCCGCAGCGCTTCCCTTTGGGGTTGCAGCAAGGGAGCCGCAGTTTCCGAGTGGCCCCAGGTTTGCTTTTAGCAGGGTTTTCTGAGCGCAGCTGGCAGGATGTTGGTGCAGTGGGGCTCGTCGGGCACAGAATGCACCTGCACCTGAGGAAACTCCACAGTGCAGTGTTGCCAGCAGTGACAGCCACCTGTCACCCACTTGTCCCTTCCACAGCCAAGGCCGCTGGCTGTGGAAATTCTAAACTCAGGTGTTACTTAAATGGAATGGTTGGGTAATAATATTCTATATGTCTTGATCATCAAATCTCACGGATGACGTTTCCATAAGCTTTTGAAGAAGGTAAGAAAATATTGTAGTAGAAAATTCTCTTGCCAGGTGTGGTGGCGCATACCTGTCATCCCAGCACTTGGGAGGCTGAGGCAGGAGGATTGCCATGAGTTCGAGTCCAGTCTGGGCTATGTAATAATAGTCACCACTTCCTGTTCACCTGCTCGGGACACCCACTGTGCTGAGCACTTTGACTGTTTCTTTCATTTAATCTTCACAATAATCCTTCAGGGTACATATGGTCATCCCCGTTCTACAGGTTAAGAGGTGAGGGTCAGGCAAGCTAAAGATTTTGCCTGCGCTCACCTAGCAAGAAAGTGGTAGAGATTTGAGCCCAGAACTTCATCATTTTTAAGTCTCTCTCTGTATCCATGAAATCTGCTCTGAAATGCGGCTTTAAGTACCACAAGTGGCTGGGTCGGTAGATGTCAGTTACCGGGAGGGTGCAGTGATCTTGATCTCCTGAGTGGGGTGTTCGTGAGAGGGAGGGACGTGTGCTTCAGTTTGGATCTGCAGTGTCCGCCCCAGGACTGGGGCCACAGGGAGGGCCCCCAGCCTCTGGCGCCCGCGAGGGGGCGGGGCCGTGGGAGGCGGGGCTGGGGGAAGGGGGTCAGGTCACCGGGTTGCAGGGCAGGTTCTCTGCGTCCCGGCCACCGCGGGCAGGGGCCTCTGCTGCTTGTTGCTGCCACGATGTCCTGCTGTGCCACAGGCCCAAAAGCCGTGGGCCAAAGCCTGGGATCCCCAACACTGGGCCAGAACCAACCTTTTCCTGCTTTACCTTAATTATCCCAGGTGGTTTTTCACAGCACGGGACACTGACCGGCACGGCCAGCTCTGGCAGAGTGCCGGCTCTGACGGGGTGGCCTGGCCTCATCTCTCCAGGCTGCCCCTGGGCCCCCCTCCCACCCCCGGCAGAGAGCTCTGTGCCTTCCTCTTTATCAAACTGTAGAAGGAGCAATGAACTCTTACCTCATCCTGGATCTTTCTTTTTCCACTTTAGTCAAGCAGCCCTAACTTTTAATTAAAATGAGAAACCGTCCCACAGATAGGACGTGGCCCTCAGACAACCTCATAATGCAGAAACCGAAAAAGACTCAGGTTTCGTTCATCCATTTTGTGAGCTGCATGTAGAAAAACACCAATTTTATTTCCTAGACATGGAGAGAAGCACTAAATGAAATTCCACTCGGTTCAGTCAAGGGAAGAGATTTTGTAGGAAACCGAGTAATGATTCAGTTGAACTTCCAGAAACACGAAATTTTAAATCAGTGATTACAAAGCCTTTTGTAAATACATGTGGCGTGACTCAGAAGGAAAATTGTAAGCACAAATAGTGCCAAGTTCATTGTTAGCTATTTCTTTTTTTTTTTGGTACCGGGAATCGAACTCAGGACCTTGTGCTTTCCAGGTAGGCGCTTGTGCCGCTGAGCCATATCCCCGGCCCACACCAAGTCCATTGTTACGGCAGAATATTCTGAGTGTGGGTGTGGTCATCCTTGGAGAAGACTATAGTTACTTTTTATTTGGTGGTTGTCACCGTCACTGTTCTCACTGGGCGCTGACGTCCGCTCTCTCCTAGAGACGCTGCAGCGACTGCACCAGCAGCTGCTTGAGGCGGAGCGCCGGTCCATGACGTACTTAAAGCGGTACAATAAGATCCAGGCAGACTACCACAACCTCATTGGGGTCACGGCTGAGCTGGTGGATTCTCTGGAGGCCACAGTCAGCGGCAAGATGGTAAGAGAGATCCCCAGGAGTGTATCTGTGTGCCTCTGAATGTGGGTACGGTGAGATCCTACTAGTGGGGTTGCCTGGTCAGGTATGAGGGTCACTATTTTGATAAAGGGTGCAGTCATTTTTCTGAAATGTCAGCAGTGGATCAGAGCCCCTGTTTGTCCGTACACATAGCGAATATCTCTGGGATTAAACCTGGAAATCTGTGCCGGTCTGGTAAGTGAAACTTGGCACCCTAAATGTTTCCATTTACACTCATGTATGAGGCTGAATATATCCTCCTATGCTGTTGGCCATGCCCTTTTTTTGTCAGCTGTCTACCCGCGTCCCTTCCTCCTTCACCTGTCCTGAGCAGGAGGGTGACGTGATCAGGCCTGCCTGCTGGGGGGGCGGTTCTGGCAGCCCTTCCAGGAGTCAGAGGAGGAAAGCTACGGGAGTAAGGGTTGCTCCAGAGTCTCAGACGCCACAGGGAACCCTGAAGTTGAGAACCGTGGACCTCTCGGAGGTCCCTGTGGCAGCCTTTGCGTGTGAGCCCCGGGGAGGAGTGGGGGGACTTCGGCCCGGGCAGGGGCCGAGAGCGTAGCGGGTAGACGACGAGCCTGGGAGTGGGAGGGGGCTGAGTTTTCAGTGTGAAACACACGTGAACGTGCTGTGAGGCCACGGAGAAGGGACAGAGCACGAAGATGAAACACAGGATGAAAAACACGCACGTTTTAGTACGACTGCCGCTCAGGTGATGGATGAGGCCTCTGTCAGTCCTCTGCCACCAGTCGTGAGCCGGGCACACCTGGGCCCTCCCTCGGCCCTCAGTGTGGCAGGGCCAGGACATGCGTCACCTCGCGGGACAGGCCAGGCTCGTGCTACGCAGAGCTTGCAGTTTCCTCGGGAGCCCAGGACTTGAGCCAGACCCTCTGCCTCGACGCCTGCGCTCCTTGTGGCCACAGTGGCTTTCTTTGTTTTTTTCACCTGAATTTACAAAACATAGAGCCGAGTCTGTTATCTTCCACGGCAGGGGAGATGCATCGGGTAGAGGCACCTCACTGGAAGTGTGACATCTCGTGGTCACCTCTGCAGGACACTGGGGTTTTTCCTGCCGGGTCAGGGGTCACATCGGTGTGTGGCTTCCTCCCAGGCACTGCCAGATTCCAGCTAGTGGTTCTTTTTCCAGCTCCCCCATTTCCTCCCCACACCTCACAGAGGCTCTCGAGGGACAGCAGGCCTCCTGGCCCTCCAGGGGGCCACAGCCTCTCACGACGCCCCACATCCCCCTGCAGATCACCCCCGAGTACCTGCAGAGCGTCTGCGTCCGCCTCTTCAGCAACCAAATGCGACAGAGCCTGGTGCACAGCGTGGACTTCACCAGGCCCGGGACGGTGAGGCACTGCCCCCCACCTGTCCCCCAAATCCAAAGTGAGCCCGATGAAGATGGGGAAAGCGTGGGAGGGAGTCAGGCGAGAGGCTGCCCTGGGCCAGCTTGGGAGGGGCAGAAACGCCAGGGAGGAGGAGAGAGGCGCTGTGCCCCGCAGGGGTGGGGAAATGGAAGGAAGCCTCCAGTCTGTTGCTTTAAGAAACAGCCGTGGTAAGCCAGGCATCGTGGAGCACCCTTGTAATCCCAGCACTTTGGAGGCTGAGGCAGGAGGGCCGCTGTGAGTTCAAAGCCAGGCTGAAGATAGTGAGACCCTGTCTCAAAACACCAAAACAAACAAACAAAAAAAAACAACTGCCGTATTGGGGTTGCATGGTCTAAAGCCGGGATTCCTTTTCTTTCTTTCTTTCTTTTTTTAACTTTGGGGGGATAATGGCAAACTTAAAGAAAAGTTGCAGTGATAGCACATAGGACACTGGTGCCCCCTTACCCAGACTCAGCCACCGTTAGCCTTTACCCCATACGCGCCCCACCCTGCACACCAGCACAGCCAGCTTCTCAGCCTCTGGGGGACCAGTTACGTCTATCACGGCCCTCTACACCTCAATACAAAGCGTGTATTTCTTTCTCTTATTTATTATTTTAACAGTACATAAAATCGTACATATTTATAGAATTAGTATGTACTTCTTAAAATTAAGAATAACCCCTGGTGCTAGGCATGGTGGCGCTCGCCTGTGATCCCAGCATGCAGGACACAGGAGTTTGAGGCCAGCCTGGGCTTCGCAGCAAGACCCTGTTATTTAACGAACAATTAGCATCTTCGTTGCCTGGAGCGCCGAGGCCATTTCTTCTCCACTGGCCCTTTCCTGTTTCCTCAGTGGTGCCAGGGGCCTGGGGTCAGACCTTGCAGAGCCACAGGGCTGCTCGGCTTCCCGTCATCCCGAGCACGTCCTTAACCTCTGCTCAGCTTCCCGACATTAACATTCTGGGACAACGCAGTCTCTCCCGGGTGCGTGCGCCAGCGCCACCTGGCTCAGTGCTTGAGCGGCGAGGCCGTGCCCCTCCGGCACCCGTGTGTCAGAGCCGTGGCTTTGGGAGGAGGGCTTGCATGCTGCCGTTAGTGTTCACACACGCAGCCCAGCTTCAGTATGTACAATAAAAGCCACTACAACCCGCCTCATCCTCAAGAGCCTTTGAAGCAGCTTACTGTGACGAAATATAAACACAAGGAATGAGACAAAGATGAGCAAAGAGGGGAGGAGTAAAGGAAAATAAGGGTAGGTAAGGCACTGGGACACAAATCCCTGTCCTGTGTCGCTGTACCCATGGAGAGGCGGGCTTTGGCTTTGGTTCCGAGCTCCCTAGCAGCCTGTGCAAAGAGGAAAACACACGCAGTTAATGATCCACAGTGCTTCAGGCCAGCGTGCGCTGCTCACGTGGCCAGGAGGCTCCGCAGGGCAAGGGCTTCCCGGGGCCACCGCACACCCCAGTGTGGCCCGTTTTGGTGCCAGGCTCTGTGTGCCCCTCAGAGAGCTACTTTTTTTTCACACATCCATCATACTTTTATAGCTTAAAACCAAAATCAAATCCATTTTTTAAAAAGACGGACGGTCGCACAGCCGCTGTGCAGACCCCTGGCGCCGAGGCTGAGGATCATTCAGTCACGAGGTGAGGAGCAGATGTCCCCACGCTCTCGCAGATGTGCCTCAGAGCTGGTGGCCATGTGGTCACTGTGCACCTGTGGACAGTAAGGCAGAGGCCGCACCCTCCTGGCTGTAGAACGTGTAGCCACGGGTCTCAGCACAGAGATCTCAGCAAACCCAGCCTTCTCGGGAGGTGGGTAAACACTGGGAGCCAAGTTTTAGAAAAGTTGTCTCTCTCCCTTCCTCCCTCCCTCTCTCTCTCTGTCTCTGTCTGTCTCTGTCTCTCTGTCTCTCTGTCTCTCTCTCTGTCTCTCTCTCTCTCTCAGTTTCTTATTTATTTTGTTTTTTGAGACGGGGTTTCACTATGTAGCTCAGGCTGGCCTTGAGCTCATTATATAGCCAAGGCTGGCTTCAAACTTGGGGTGATCCTCCTGCCTCAGCCTCCTGAGTACTGGGATCACAGGCATGCGCCCCATGCCCGGCAGACAAGCAGTTTCTTCTTGAGCCTTCGAGGGTTAGGGGCTTTGAGCCACACTCTGAGCCCCCGAGACTCGGCCGAGCCAACTTCTGTGGCCGCTGTCCTGTCGGGCCCGCTCCAGGGCAGGAAGCGGCAGAGGGTGCCAGTCAGAGAGGGCGGCTTTGGTCCTGCCGGCAGCTGGCACAGCAGGGTCTGTGTCTCACAGAACACATCAGTCACCTTTGTCACTGTCCTGCAACTCAGCACCTGCCACATGAGCAGCCCTGGAGCTCAGCATGGGGCCGTGCGGACAGCATCGGCTTGCGCGGGACCCCACCAGCATGTGACCCCGTCCTGTCACGGCGGCGGCTGCCGCACTCCATGGGCACCCTGGCCAGGCCTCGAGAAATGCACCCATTTGGGAAATGAGTTGCTGTGTCCGCTCTCAGGGAACGGAAGTGACAGCCACAGCCCGGCCAGTGCCGCTGCTGCTTGGGCCAGGCAGCTGCGTGTGGTGAGCAGTGTCCCTGGCCGCTACCCATTTGGTGCCAGCAGTGCCACCGCCGGTTTTGACAACACAGGTCTCCAGACACTAGGGGAAGGGGACGTGGGGCTGTGTGGAAGGTACATGGGGGCCACGGAGCAGACACCACTAGGGCCAGGGTGGAGGGCGAGGCCGGCCAAGTCGGCAGGTGAGGAGGAAGGAGGCTGAGGCAGGCAGATCTACAGAGGGGAGGCTGAGGCTGAGGACGGGGTGGTGGCAGGGAGGCCGGAGGAACAGCCCCGGGCAGGATGGTGGGCAGCGTGACCTTGGCTCTGGGACGCGACTCCTGGTCTAGAGCCAAGCGCTTGGCCTTGGGGTCCCCTCACCTGGGAGCAGACGTCACAGTGCTGGAGGCGAGCTGGTCCCCAGGAAGCAGGCGGCCACCACCCCGGGCTGCTGCCACTGCCACGGGGTCTCCGTGTGCCGAGGGCAGTGTGCCAAAAGCTCGCGGACGCCTGGGCTGACTTTAAACCCTGGACGGCTTGCGGGAACCCTGCAGATCAAGCGCTCTGCAGATCCGCTTCCGTGCGGTCAGCGCGGTCGGGCCACACTCACGCTGTCTGCTTTCTCTTCCTCCCTGCAGGCCTCGACCATGCTGCGCGCCTCCCTGGCCCCCGAGTAAGTCGCTGCCCTGGGGAACTTTATTAACAGGAAGTGGAGTCAGGAGTAGCTCTGTAAACACGAGGCAGCCCAGCCTCGGGGAACAACTAAGCACGACAGGAGGTGCCCGCGAGTGTGAGCCTCGTTAGCTAGACTGTCTTCTCGCGTTACTTCCCTGCGTAAGGTAGCATCAAATGGGGAAAAGATGCCGAACTGTTCCTGTGGTATTTATAGAAGTGAAATCTTACCTTTAATTAACTCGTTAATCCTGGGCCAGGGCTCGCATGATGAGCTACAGCCCCAACACTTTGTATTTTTTTATTTTGAGACAGGGTCTCGCTAAGTCACTGGTTGCCCAGGCTGGGCTTGAACTTGTGATCGTCCTGCTTCAGCCTCCCGGAGTGCTGGGATTTTAGGTGGAACATCTCAGAATCTGAGCTTTTTGCTCTTTGCTGCGCCCGCTGTGACCGGAGCACGGCTGTCCAGGTCACCAGGTGTCACCCACACAGTGTCTGACGCGTGTGTGCCGCAGCAGGACGTGCAGCCTGGGGCTCGGAGGTCAGGGCTAGGGCGGTTTCGGACCCGCTGAGCCAGGTGTGCTGCCTGGTGCTTGCAATTACTCAGAGGTCTGAGGTGGCCACAGCCTTCCTCATCCTGCCCCACGTCCTCTCCTGCCACCTGGTGGCAGTGTCATGTAGTGCACACAGCGTGGGAGACTCCGTTAAATTCCCACCTCGGACAGCAGCTCCATGGCCTTGGACTGCTTAAGTAACTCCTGTGTGCCTCAGTTTCCTCACTTGTGAAATAAGGAGAGCACTAACTGTTGGATCTGTGTGAGGATAAAAGCGAGCTGGCGTGAGGGAAGCTCGCAGTACAGTGACAGGGACATAAACTCTCTGGGGTTTGCTGTGACCGGGCGGGTCACCGGCAGGGAGCTGGGAAGCGTGCGGAGGAGGCTGGGCAGAGGAGATGGCCCGGTGCGGTCCCGCCATCAGAGTGCCGCGGGCCACAGGGCAACGGGGTTGCGGAGCCGCGTGGCCATGCTTGGTTGCTAATCCTGCTGCCCAAAGGGGAGCAACAGACCGAGATCAAACTCGGGTTGCAGTTGGTACACTTTCACCTAGAACCAGACCTGTTTACATTTTAAAGTTAAAACATGTCTTTCGCAGCGATAAAGTAGTTTTGAATTGCAAAAGTGGCCCAGAATCCCCATATGCTCTCCACCAAGACTCCCTGGAGTTAATTTTCCTTTTCTTTCTTTCTCTTTTTTTTGAGATAGGATCTCTCTAGGTAGCCCAGGCTGGCCTCAAACTCACTATGTAGCCCAGGCTGCCTCAGCCTCTCAGTAATCCTCCTGCCTCAGCCTCTCCAGTACTGGGATTACAGGCATGCGCCACCACACCCCACTCGGTTTTTATTTCTTTTTTTCTTTTTTTTTATCTTTTTGAGACAAGGTCTGGCTATGCAGTTCAGGCTGGCCTTGAGCTCACTTTGTAGCCCAGGCTGGTCTCGAACTCACAACGATCCTCCTGCCTCAGCCTCCTGAGTGCTGGGATTACAGGCGTGCGCCACCACGCCCAGCTCGGTTTTTATTTTGAAGGAATCGCAGTTGAGCCCCAGGCCTCACCCGCACTCAGCAGGTTTCCCTGTGCACACATCTCCTTTAACCCAGCAAAACAAGGTGTGAGGATGCTCGTTTTAGTGCCAGGGGACCGGAAATGACGCCCTTGGTCTCTGGCTGACCGAGGCAGGGTGAGGTCCCAAGCGCTGTGTGGATCTCGAATCAGGCCTGCTATCTGATCAGGGGCGCCTTCCAAGGTTAGCAGGCGTCCTGTGTCCCCCACTTGGGTCCAGTGTCCACCCCTCCCTCTTCCCGTAGTTCCTGGCCCCTGTCCTGTCCCTGATTCCCCAGCCCGGACCAGGGCAGTGGCTGAAGGTTTTAGGTGGGCCTCTCCAGGCGTGCAGGTGCTGATGGTCTGTGGGCTGTGTCCAGGGTCAGAATGGAGCCCCGTGGAGGGTGTAGGTGGCCCCAGGTGACTTCTCCATCATCACAGGGAGCCCCGCCTGAAGGGACTGCGGTGGCCTCTACAGCTGTTCAGGCAGAGATGCTTGGTTTAAGCTGTGTAACCCCAGCACTCAGGAGGCTGAGGCAGGAGGATCGCTGTGAATTCAAGGCCAGCCTGAGCTACATAGCGAGACCATCTCAACCAAAAAACCAAAACCTCAGTCCATGAACACAGCAGGCGGAGCTGGGCTGGGAGTGCATGGGACAGGGTGGCCGCAGCCAGGCACCACCGGTGCCCCTACCTGACCAGCTCTGAGACAGTGACCTTTCCCTTCTGTTTGAACTGCGAACAGGAAACTGCAAGATGTCCCCCTGCTGCCCTCCCTGGACTACGAGAAACTGAAGAAGGATTTGATCTGGGGGAGTGACCGTCTGAAAGCCTTCTTGCTTCAGGCTCTGCGCTGGGTAGGTACCTTTCCTCCGAAGTTAAAAAAACAAAAAGAAAAACAAAAGCCCAGCGCTACTTTCTGCTTTCTGCTTGGCTCCTGTCTGGTGACGCTGTGCTAAAATCTTTCTTCCTGCCACCGGCCGCAACACGGACCAAAGTGAGGCGCCGCTCCTGTGGACATCACGGCAGCCGCTGCCCGCTCGAGGTCAACCCGACAGCCAGCCCAGTGCCCAGCCCTGCCCTGCCGCTGGTCATAGCCACGCTCGGGCGGGGCAGAGCCCCCCTGAAGTCTCACTTCCTCTCGGAGCCAGCCCTGGGCCTCAGCAGTGCCGAGGAGCAGAGAGCTCCTGTTTATGTGAAGTTTCTCTCGAGTATGTTCAGCACTCGAAATTAAAACTGAGAACGCTTAAAATATATATTTACTAATTCATATAAATAATAAGCAAATGACATGTTAACATAAATAACATTTTTTAAAAATGAAAAATAACAAATTTCCAAACAGCAAAGTTAGTTAGCTGGGTGTGGCGGTGCACATTTGTAATCCCAGCACTGTGGGAGGCTGAGGCAGGAGGATCACAAGTTCAAACCCAGTCTGGGCAACTTATCAAGACCTTGTCTCAAAATAAAAAATAAAAAGGGCTGGGGCTGTAGCTCAGTGCAGCAGCCCTGGGTTCTAATCCCCAGGCCTGTCCACCCCTCCCCCGAAAAGCAAGCGGAATTTGTATTGTTTTACGTTTCTCATGTTTCTTAACATTTGGCTGAATGGAGGCCGGCTGGATCCTCCTGTCAGCTTTTCCCTCCGTCTCCGGAGTGTCACACTTCCCGCGGCCGCTGAGGGACTGATGACGAGACTCCCAAGTTGTGCCTTACTGTGAAGATAATCCTGCCCACTGAGAGGGCTTTGGGGACCCTTCGTGCTCCCTGGACTACACTGCTGCCTTATGCCACCAGAAGTTGCCCTCAGATTGACAGATCTATCCTAACGCATCCGATTAGCATCTGAGCCTTTATGGGGTCTCAGCACTCACATCCCGGTGCCGTTTCCCAGTCTGCATTGAATCCGCTCCCGGCAGCGTGCTTGCGCAAGGTCCTGAGTTAAATTCCCGGTACCCCCAAAATAAATGAATACATAAATAAACAAACAAACACCCTGGGACCGCAGGGCGTCTGCCTGGTCTGCTTCGTCACCCCACTTCCCCCGCCAGCCTGCTGTCACCCTCTGCTCTGTTACCCATGCTGAGAACCCGGGTGCCCCTTCCGCACCACGCCACACCCCCAGCAGGGCCTGTGGCCTCAAGGCCTTTGCATCGGAGGCCTTTCCTGGGACAGCAAGCGGTTTGCTCACTGCAGTGACGCGCCTCGTCCCACTCACACCTGTTCGCGCGCACTGCACGCGCTCCCCACGCAGCGGCCTCGTCCCCCTGCACACGGGAGATGGCGCGGAGGGCGGCACCGCGCTCCCGGCCTCGCAAGGCTGCAGAATCGCAGCAGCTGCGCGCTACGCGCTCACACGCGCAACTGCACACGGTCGTGCCCCCGGCCCTGCCCGCGGCGTGGGGGACAGTGCGGGCTGCGTTCAGAGCCCCACAGTCTACCCCGGGCTGCACCCCTTCCCCACGGGCCTGCCCACCGCGCCCCGGTTTTGCTCCCCGCCCTCCCACGGATTTCCGTCCGCGCTGAGACCGGGTCCTGTTGCCTCTGCTCTGCTCCCCAGCGCCTGACCACGTCGCACCCCGGCGAGCAGCGGGAGACCGTGCTGCAGGCCTACATCAGCAACGACCTCCTGGACTGTCGCAGCCGCGGCCAGGTGCGGGCGGCAGGGCCCCCAGGGCCCCCTGGGCGAGCGCGGGCGGTCAGGCTCCGTGTGCGGGACTCCGGGTATGCAGCGGGAGAAGGGAGGACGGCAGAAGAGGGCTGCACAGGCGCATCAAGGTGCCCTGGCTTGTCAGGGGCCGTTAGCGGAGCAGCTGCCGAGTAATATATACATACATGGTTCTCTTTTCACTAGTACACGTTTGTAGTTCGTGAGGCTTAGTCATCCTGAGCTGCCCGTAGCGAATACATCTTCACTCTTTTTGCATCCCCGTCCTCTCCCTCCGCTCCCAGCCCCCTCCTGCCATCTCTCTCTCTTTTTAAATTATCTTTTATATTTTCTTTCCTTATATTTTGGGTTTCTTATATAAGAGGAACCAGGCAGAATTTGACTTTGTGTGTCTTAATTTATTTCAGTGAACGTTATGGTCTCAAGGTGCATCCGTATTCCTGCAGATGACTCAAGTTTATCCTTCTTTATGGCAGAGTAGTACTCCATAGTGTGTAAATACCATACCTTCTTTATCCATTTGTCTCTCTTTTTTTTTTTTTTTTTTTTTTTTT